TGTTTGGATTTCATTTTTCTTTTTGTTTACATTGAAAGGACATGCTTGTGCACATTCCCTAACGTGCTGCTGACAGGATGAGGAAGAAGAGAATAGGTCAGCACTGATGAGGGGAAAGATGTGCACTGAGGGAAAGTATTCCCAGAAGAACCAGTGTTAACAAGTTCACAATCCAGAAAATGAACCCGTCCTCCAGTCTCAAGAGGATGCTACTTCCTGTCCAGTCCAATACAAGCGTCCTCTCATCTCCTCTCCCTGTTGGTTTGACCTCAGCTGTTTCCCATGACCGCATTTATCTGAAGCAGTGTCACAGTGCCCATTGCAATGTAAATGTCCTGGCAGCATCCAACTTACTGGAGATTCTACAGTAAACAGGATTGGATATTTGACAAATACTCAACAAATACCAAAGCAACTATGGCAAATATTGACCTCAAAGCACAGAGCAGCCATGACAGCATTAGAGGACAATTTCTAATTTTACTCAGTCACTCTCTAATGTCTGTATTGGCTGCCTTTTATAGTCCAAGGGCATTCGCTTTGCCAATCACATTAGACCGACACAATCCAACCAATTGAATTAAGCTGCAAAAATAACATCAGCACCACCATGGCAAGTCCAGAGGCCTGTACTACGAAGCCGGTTCAACATAACCTGGATATCTTTGAGTTACCCAGCTACCTAATCCAAAACAAACGCGCTCTCGCTAAGCGGTCCTACGAGGCTGGTTATCAATTTGTTAACTCAAGCTAGTTTTGCCCTATCTAGTTATGTACGCGTTCACATAAAAGGGGCGGGGTTAGCAACATTTGACCAGTCACAAACATGAAGAAGCATACTGACAGTGCAGTGTCATACTTTTTTACATTACATGTTACTTGTTAGACGCTTTTATCCAAAGCGACTTACATACTCAATACTGTGGGCAATCCCCACAGGAGCAATTTGGGGTGAAGTGTCCAGGGACACAACGACATGCAGTGGGGTAAAAAAGTGTTTGAATGCGTACATTAACAGGTTTATGATATCACTGCCCCGTCTAAGACACTAGTGGATCTGACTTTAATTACATTTGAAGTTAGCTCGCTAAGCGAAAATCCGGCTTCGTAGTACTGGCCTCTGCTCCTGTTACTGAGCCAGGCAGCTCAATGTTTGTTTATTTCAAATGAAGGAAGCCACGTAGAACAGATGATATATTTCATTGCGATACAGTTTCAGGCACTGTGTTAAAAATCCAGGTGGCAGCTAAGGTTGCCTCCCGTTTGTCCTATTTGAGTAACAAGGAAGTATAACAATAAAAGCAAACTCTCCCCAGCTGGAATACAACCAAAATAACCAAACAAGGTTTAGGTTTCCAATACAATACCTGCCATACATGCAAAATCAAAGGTCACATATTGTAAAAAAACAAACAAATACTGTGCAAGTATCAAAATGCTTAATACATGGATAAATCAACACTTTAATCTTTAGAAGGGACACCAAGATCTCAATTCAAGATGTCAAACATTATTGTCTCTAAATGTAAGAAATGCAGCTTAGCATGCAAGTCAAAGTAGCACATGTAACTCAACAAATAAAAAAACAATCCATATTTTTGTTTTTCTGTGAACAGATTATGTGATGTTGAACTATTTCTGAGGTGTGAATTGTATAATTTATCAGAGAAAGAATATCATTTTCTCCCTGTGGTTTTGCACTTGGTTTAAGAACATGTCTGACGCTGTCTGAGAGTGTTTACCTGGAGGTTACAGTAACTGAAGAAGCAGCTGGAATATGACAGCTAAACATATATTAGTGAAAATCTATCATCTATCATCTAATCATCTACTTTCATCTTTTCCTTCCTGATTTTCTACAGTTTATCTTCTTACATTTCTTAAAAGATGCACCTTTATGCATAATATCCATCTTTTTTTGTCCATCTTCCCTTTGCTTGTCTACTTAATTAATCCACAAATGTCTTCTCAGAGTTATTAAATAGTAAAGCCACAATTCAGCTGGTGCTCGTATGCTAAAGTGAGCTGAGGCTGATCCACTGCCTGAGGGTTTGTGCACTGACAACACACACACACACACACACACACACACACACACACACACACACACACACACACACACACACACACACACACACACACACACACACACACACACACACACACACACACACAGGTGCATTTCAAGCATGGCTGGGCTCGCAGCTAAGTAGCCACACAGCAGCAAACATCTTATTTGTGTGAAATGCTAGATGACTTTCACTGTCTGTGCTATAGGCAGAGGGGCTATTATCACACTGCACCACCATATCAGTGGTTTTCAGAAGGTTTGGATTTTTGGCCCCAGGAGGCTGCATTTCATTTTAAGTTTTCCTCTGATCCTAACCAGGTTTAAATTCCCCCTCAAGGGCTGGGTGTTTAAATAGAATTGTCTATATTTCTTTTACAAGCCCTGCAGGGAAATACTTTGGCATATTGTAATTTCACCCGATAAAATGTACATTCTGCAGTCAAAGTTCATCCTCTTGTATGTTTTCCAAGTACAAATATACTTTCATATTCCTTAAATCATCAGGCTGACATTAATCATTATATTTAAATTTGAATTAATTTTATTCAGAGTTAATTCAATGTAAAAACCTTTCTGTAGGTTTTATCCACATTCCTTCTTGGCTCTCGATTTTTTTTTTCAAGGAGCTGTAAGCTGAGCTCCCATGTATCTGCACCGCTGTCTGATGCCCTTTAAATTACAACACCCTGGATATGCAGAGAAATGTGTTTGCAACCTGTAATCACTTGTTAGGAATTAGGTTATTCCTCGTAAAAAGAAATGGGGGAATCCTACCAGTATGGGAAAACGATTGCATAAATGTTTGCATCATTGATTTTCTTATTCTGACAAAATGTAATGAGAAGTTAGGTGATGTGTTGTAATTGTCTCTATTACTGAAGTAAACACTTGAAGAAAGTCACTTTTTTTATGAAATGTTACATGTTATTGAAATTAAATGATTGGTAAAAACAAATCAACGTTAAGGGAAGGGAGAAAAGAGGGGAGGTATAATTTGCATGACTCAGCTCTGAGGTAAGTGCATTCCTTCGAGAAGCTGCCTGACTTCTGCACAAACTGAGGACATACAAACAGCTTAGCAGCATCTGGTTTTCTGAAGGAGCTATGTAGAAGGTCCAACAAGGAATAACAAAGAAGGAACACTCTTGGTTCATTGCCCTCTTATCTTTATCCTTGTAGGTTACAATGCAAGATCACCATAATCATTTAGGGATAGCCTACACTGTACTGTGTATTTCATGCTGCTGCATGCTGAATAATAAATGACAAGCATGCAGGACTCATTGGTCTCAAAATTCATAATGAAAGTAATTTAAGTAAAAAGCTATTGGACAAAATCCTCAACAAAAACATGATTTAAAGCAAACTGGAACATTTGCTCCATTAAGTTTCATTTCTCCTCACGGACTTTTTCTATCTTTGTCTAATTTGAACTAATTCTGAACAAATTGTGTTGAAGTCGCAAGTCAAGTGCAGGGCACACACGTGCACCCTGCAAGGTGAAAGGCAATTTGGATTTGTAGACTACATCTTAAATGTGTTGTAGTAGCCTAATATGCCTTTCATTTCCCAGCATAAACAAAATGTGTCAATCACTTAAATAACAGATGTGTCCTACCTTGCGAGAGTTGCAGTGAAACAGAGACTCAGAGGCGCTGCAGCGGAATGCTGCATGCAGGGTGCACACTGGCTGGAGATAAACTGCAGAGTTGATGTGGGAGCCCCCCCTTAGAGCACTCACTGTAGGAGCCCCGTTTGGAACGTTTACGGGTCACTGCAAAGTTTAACTCGGGGATTGACATCGACTCGAGCTGCTGTCGACACCTCAGCTGAGGACTGAGCCCCAACCTTGAAGTACCTGTCAGCACGAGAGAGAGAGAGAGAGAGAGAGAGAGAGAGAGAGAGAGAGAGAGAGAGAGAGAGAATATACTCAAGCAGGCACGTGAACAAAAATAGCAAAGTTAAATTAATGCTCAATGCTGGTTAGAAATCCCTCCAGCATATTATTGTTATATTGCACAGATGTCATAACATTCAACTTTCAAAATATGTAGTGTTGTGAATGACTAAATTAAACTATGATAAAAATGCGATTGTTTAAATTTTATAGTTATGTTTAGGTTAGATTTAAATGGCCTGGGGTATTGGATGTGATTGCACATTATTAATGTTTAAGCAGCAGTGTCTTTATTACTGTCAATCGTCTTTCTCATCTGTCAATGTTCCTTTTCAAACTTAAACACTTCTATCACAGGAAGCTAAAAAAATAAAGACCAAACGAAAATGCAAAGCATGAACCTACACGAAACTGAGAGCATACAAAAACGGGAACATTGTAATGTTCGTATACTCTAAATTCTTCTTATCGATACCTCCCCTCTCTTTTTCTTTTGTGTTAAATACTGCCCCCATGTGATATTTTTCAGTAACTGTGTCTATACATGTTAAATTGTGCCATCCTGCATACAAACATTGCAGATCATATAAACGCTCATATTTCCCCTTCTGAGAACATACTCACACCTAGTGGGGCTTTTGTGAAAATGCACCCCTCATTAACAAATATAATATATTGTAGCACTCTAAGGGTTTAGCACATTTCAAACGGGTCATATGTAATGAACGAATGAAATGTAATGTAACTTTTTATTTGAAACATTTGTATCACTTTTTTTTTGTGTACAATAAAATATATTGTATGTTGTCCTGTATGACAGGACAGAGAAGTTCATGAATATTTTTGCAGTATGTCATTTTCAGCAAGCACTTTGTAGATGGTCCCTGTACAACTGAAATAGTAGCCTAATACTACAAAATTACAACAAAGTGAAAAAACAACGGGAAAATTAAAACATCATTACCCTGACAGAACATGACTGTTTCTCAACCAATGAGAACGTCAAAAACCCGGAGTGGGCGGGCACTTTCTTGTTGTGGTTGACGGTTCACTTCCTGCTTTGCACTGTGAAATCAATAAACTTCAGCACAAAAGTAGGAAAAGCGAGGATACCGAGGATCTGTCAGCATAGTAGGTACTTTACGAGTAATATTTCACAGCTTTTTACCGCAATGACTGTTATTTGCAGCTAAAATGTGAGCCAACAGGAAGAAAAGTGTTAATCCTAATGTGTGCACACACCCTATGCTGCTCACAAGACTGCGGCGGCATGTGATATCGATTAGTGAAACACACACTGCTGCAGCCCTGTTTCAGCTCCTGATAGAATGAAAGAAATGTATCGAAAACTACATTCTACATGTTAGTGGTGGGTCATGTTGCTTATTTTATTGTAATACGTAATAGGCTACGTGACATTGGTTTCGAAGTGTCAGAACTGAAATACATTTAAAATAACGGATATATTTTCTCTGAAAACATCGATGTCGAATATGCAACGAATAAGTTAGTTTAAGGTTGGAAATCCATAAGACATTCAAACTACGGCTGTCATAGGAAGGGTTTCTCACATAGCCCTCTCTTATCCACATGGTTAGTGTTAGGGACCGTCAATAAATTACCGTTTAACTTACAAAATAAAAACAATGTTATTTTCATACCTTTGTACTAGCTTGCACACATGCTAAAATAATGCAAACATAATAGGAATAAATGTTTCTTGTGTCACATGTGATAAACCTGGCCAAACTAAAAAGTGAGCCTATTGCCACAGTTATTCACAAAAGGCAAGTAGATATCATTTGTAATTATATAAAATGACACGTCTCATAACCCAAAAGTATTTTTGAATAATATGTAAAAACTGTTCAGCTCTAAATATTTTAATATTTTAATGGAAGCTGTCCTGCTGAATGAAGACAGTCCGTTACATTTCCACCCGGGGCTGATTCCTGTCTCCAAGAGGGGATCCAACATGGTGCACGTCTACAACTGCCATCCTTTCGCCTCACAGCAGATAGTACAGGTAGGTGGATGTTGCTGTGGATGTTTTTATTTTATTTCTTTTTTTTTTTTAAATGCTTATCACGGCTGATAATGTTGTTTTGTGTATGTGTCAGGTCCTAACTAATATACCTTACCTCTGTATCTCAGGTGGAGCAGGAGCCTGGACTGGTCTGCTGTGGAGGGGGAGCTCTGTTTGTGGTGGCGACTGGAGGATGCAAGGTTATTCTTTAAAATATGTATATTTTTAAATAAAAGTTTTCCAGTTATTTTATTTATTTGTGTTTAAATAAAAACTATGCCCTCATTTGTTAAACCCACACCTCATCAAAAATATATGTTTTTTAATATGCAGTAATGTGTTGAACTGAATCAAGGTGGAGGCTTACAATGTGGAGCAGGAGGGCTGCCCTTTCATCTGTCGCTTTGCCACCATGGGCACTGTGAAGAGCATCCAGCACAGCAAGATGGGTAAAAAACTCATTATCGCTCACCTTTTGTCAGTCTTAGAAAGTGCATACATCCTAGTTTTTACCCATTGTACTTTTGTTTGTTTTATGTGTGAGTAAGGAAGCCGACAGCGTAAGGGTTGAAGTGTCAGTTGAAGAGAGTGATATATTTGAATATTTTTTTCTTCTCTGCATCCCATTCAGGAGATTACCTGGTTACCATTGAGGAGAAGAACAGTGCCACTTACCTGAGAGCCTACACCAACTGGCGTTATCAGGTACACACTTAAAAGCTTTCTTGAAAGTATTTATTATCATATAACATTGAGACTTAAGGGACCATGTTAATTTATTTTGTAGTTTTCATACTTTATGTTGGGGATCAATATGTGACCTTAACTAGGGAATGTTATAAAAACATATAGCATTTTTATTATATGGACTAGAAGAAAATGTTGTCCCTCAGATACTACTCATTGTAGCTTTAACATTAAACTTGAAATTGAATTGATCTACTAAAAGAAAGACAAATAGAAGAGATGGTTTTTCATCCGTATATCTACTGCAATATTACGTTCTTTTGTCCATGTTTTCTCCTGTACTTATTGCTCTCCATTCAGGCGGAGGGGAAGGCCCGGGTCGGGGTGCGTTTGTTGGGCCACCTGCTGCGAGGTGCGTCTATGCGGGGCGGGGTGCAGATGGAGATCATCGAGATCCCTCTTTCAAAGCGCCCTGTTGCCGTGGCATGTTGTCCGGTGACAGGAGACCTTCTGGTCGGCTGTGAGGACACGCTGGTCTTGTTCGCCTTGAGGAGACAGAACCAGCAGAGCCTGGTAAGAGATCAACTGATAATCTGTGGCTTTATCTCCTCTGAAGATCCCTTTCTACTTATAGAGAGAGCCTTACACAGTTTAGATAGAATATTGAGAGACCTACTGGTGCATGATGTAGTCACGATTAACGATGCAGTGTTTTCCAGAAGTTGACAGTTATCCACAACATTAGAATGTGTATTTCATTGTGTCTCAAAAAGTATTCAAATATAAATTGCAGTACATGAATAAGACGTTTTATGTTATCATCAGATTTATATGTCTCAATGAAGCATGCTATGACATTCTCAGTTACTTTCTCTAAGTGTTTTACATTTTATTCTTCTTGAAAAAAATACCTACAGAATCAGAGTCAGCAGATCCTTCAGAGCACCTCGCAGAACTCCAGTCAGAATCAAGGTAACTCAAGAAAATGGACACATAATTGTTAACACATGTTCATACAAAGACTTGTTTTGCATCATGACTTGTGTTTAGTTTATAATGTGTTGACTGGACAGGAGGAACAATTTTAGCAAATTGCTTCAACCATGTTGCTCAAATAGAATGACTCTTAGATAAATGTAATCCTCTATGTAATTCAATTATTTTGTAACGCTCTGATTGTCATTTAATCCTCTGTGTTTTTTTACTGACCTTAAATGTGACCAATGTTCTAGTAAACAATGCCTACTCTATGTCTAGTGGTGAAGGAGTTAGGTTGCGGTGATCTCAGAAAAAAAATCCTCTTTGCTGACTCTCCATGTTTTCCTTCTTCAACTGATCCGTCCTTTGTCTGTTTTTCTTTTTAGCTCAGTCTCCAAGTCCAAACCAGAATTTCCTGGATTTTGAACGCTCAGTTATCCTGCATCTCCCAAAGATCGAGCCCAAACAGGTCATTTCAAACACCATTTCCCCTTTTTCTTTATTATGTTCCTTTCTTTTTGTGGTATTTCCTTTATAGTTCAGTCAAATTATCTGTAATGCACACAGAACAATACTCACTGGTTTGGTTTTGTTGTATTGCACCTCTGCCCCCTAGGTGGCACTGTGTGGAGGTTATGTGGCAGTGCAGATGGAGCTGGAGGTGCTGGTTTTGAAACTGGATGCATCTTCTGATCCTAAAACCCAGGAGGAATCATCAGACACAAAGAAAGGTTTGTGTTTGTTGCCCTCTATAATGATTGATGCCGCATCTATAGATCTTTTTGATTATGTTAAGTTTACAGGCTGTAAAAAACAAGCATAGATGTATCAGCAGTAACAGAAAGTAAAAGACCTTTTGTATATCTGTCTGTGTGTGGCAGATCATATAGATGACCAGGCTGACTTCATGGTCCTTCCGAGACACCAGGAGTTGCTGGGTGATGTAGCTAAAGACTGTGACATTCCTGTCAGCATTGAGAATACCGGGCTGGAGGACGGAAAAGGACAATACACGCTATCATATGTTCTCTTCAGGTGAGTGCGTGTAGTGCTGAGTACCAGTTGACCCTTTAGATCTTTACGGTTAGCATATTTCTGTCATATGAGGTGTATTTTTAACTTTTGTTACTTCTTTCTTGCAGGCGTTTCACTCCAGACTTCTTCCAGGGCTGCAGTGTGGAGGAAACTCAACTCCACTCACTGCAGCTTTACCCACTGTACACCAGTGAGTACAGCAATACAGTGAAAAGCAGAATATGTTGTCACAGGAATTAGGATTACTACTCGATTTCCTCTCTTTATGTCTCCATGATCTCAACAAATGGTAAACTTTCAATCAAATCAAAGCCACTAATACCTTCATTTAACCCTACTGAGGACTGAAAGTCCTGTATACAATTCATTGCCTCAACCTTGGCGTGATATTCGACCCCACCCTCTCCCTCGACCCCCACATCCGCCAAGTTGTAAAAACCTCATTTTTCCACCTCCGCAATATCGCCAAACTCCGTCCCTCTCTCACCCGCCCCGCAGCTGAGCGACTCATTCATGCCTTCATCTCCTCCCGCCTTGACTATTGCAACTCACTCCTCTTCGGCATCAGCACAACATCCCTCAACAGACTCCAGCGTGTCCAGAACGCAGCCGCCAGACTCCTCACCCACACCAAATCATGGCATCACATCACCCCGGTCCTCAAAGAACTCCACTGGCTTCCCGTCTCACACCGCATTCACTACAAACTCCTGGTCCTCACCTATAAAGCCCTCCACCATCTGGCCCCCCCCCCTACCTCACTGACCTCCTCATCCTCTACCAACCACCCCAGTCCCTCAGATCCACCTCAGCCGGTTTGCTCTCAATCCCCAAGGCCAAACTCCGGAGCTTCGGGGACAGAGCCTTCTCTGTGGCAGCCCCGAAGCTCTGGAACTCCCTCCCCCAAGACCTCCGTGAGTCTGATTCCCTCACCCTGTTCCAGTCCCGTCTCAAAACCCACCTCTTCAACTCTGCTTATCCTTAAACCCGCCCCTCCCCCCTCTGAACCAACATCCTCCTGACTGCTTTTCTGTTTTTGTTTTGTTTTTGTTTTTGTTTTTGTTCTTGTTTTGTTTGTCGACCTGACTCATAATGTAAAGCGTCTTTGGGTCTAGAAAAGCGCTATATAAATCCCATTTATTATTATTATTATTATTGCAACGGCAACATATTTCTTAACAAGATACATTTGCTTTTGATCACATTTTCAAAAAAATGCATTCTGCCACTTGCCTGGGATCTTTTCAGACGTTGTCAGTGCAGTTTCCCTTCTTTCAGGACTTGGACCTGGTTTTCTTTTTGGTAAAATATTGTTTCTGCATTCTCTCTCTCCAGGTAACCAATCCGTGCCTCTGGAAGAACCAGCATGTGTCTTCTGCTTCTTCTCTCTCCCAAACGCTGGCTACCTGTACAGTCTGAAGGGTGGTGTCGAGCTTCTCTCCACCTATCAGTATCCAGAGAAAGTCCTGAAGGCGGTGCTAACGGACCACCTGCTGCACGTCATTACAAAGTACATCTGCAGTCTCATTTGATATTTCAATCATTTCACTTTCACTGAATTACAGCTCGTTAAAATATCTTCATCCATGTCTTGTCATGGGAAATCATAAAAAAATAAAATGGAGTCTTTTATAAGTTGAAGACATTTATATCAGCCTCAGTAATAGACTGATATTGAATCATGTTTACTTCTGTAGTCTAAAGTAGGGCTGTCACAATATCAGATTTTAACTTCAAAACCTTCCTGACCAAAAAATATTAACAATAACAAACAATATTATTGTCAATGTCAACAGAACTTTTGAAAAACAAGAAATATGCTTTGTTTTTTTGTTTGATTGATGTATTGCTTGTCTTTATTTTGGCATATAAATTACACTGTGTGTTGGTTGTTGGGAAGGGAGAGAAATTATTAACAAATTAAAAAGGTGCTTAATTATTTACACAATGTAGTCATAACTGTATTTTTAACATGACCTAAATACCTCATTGTTTAAATATTGCAAATATTGTCAATACTGGTATATTGCAAATACTCTATTCTGAATTGTGTATTTCTCAACAAGTAAGTTTGATTCTTCCTGTGTGCCTAGGAGTGCATTGCAGTGTTTCACAGTGCGCTGTGCAGCAGTAGCAGCCAGGATTGTGGACCCTTACATCGACACCACCATGAAGGTATGATCCTATCATGGAATCCTTGCCTCATGGGTTATTCAATAACTTACTGTAGGGTTTAGTCTCACCATTTCCCCCTGTGTGTGTCTGAAGGCCTGTCCGCCCTGCAGCATGGAGGTGTGTGCGCTCAGGATTCAGCTGTTTATCGGTCTGCGATCAGTGTGTGTCTACGGCCGCCATGTCATCCTGCTCTCTGCCGCTGACACAGAGACACCAGAGGAACCTGAACGCACCCCGCAACGCAGACGCCTGTAAGTCTCACACATGTACCCACATGTCTGTGATCGTATAGAGTGTACAAGTGTTTAAAAGCTTAATCGGATTAGTCATCAGATACCTCCCTGCCATACCAGAATACTTATCAACACTGGTGATATGTGTGATCAGGCATACATACATTTAAAAAATGTTTTTCTGTGTGTGTATGTGTGTTATTTTAGCAAGTTGAAAGAACACACCTTGCTGACTGGTATTTTCTTGGCGGTGGGAATCGATCCCGCAACCACACCGGCTCTGGAGAGCTTTCTATCACGGCCCTTCCTGTAAGATAAACCCAAACCCCCCCTCCCCCCGCAGTCTCTGTCGTCACTTTAGGCCAAGCTGCAATGCCAAGAAACCCTCGAAAAGTACTCACTGTAGCAGATGATTTTTAGCCAAACCCTCAAATCATTATTTAAAAGGGGATCTATTTAACCTTTCATGCCACAGAACAAACTTTTTTAGCTTCCATTAAAGTACCTTGTTTGTTTTTGCATTTGTCACTGATACCAGTATTCCTGAAGAATAACCATGGTAATTAACATGAACTGGAACATCAGTTATGGAGGCTTTTCCTACTTTATGACAAAATCTTAAATGCTAAGAAAATAGTATATTCAAGATGTCAAGGTATCGTCTTACTTTAGACCCTCAATCTAACTCTTATTTAGTGGCACAAAGATCGTAGCTCATTTTAAAAAGGTGGGGAGTGAGGGTACTAAGTACTTCCTCCTTTGATCTGCCTTGCCTTTCCATAAGTTATCAATATTCAAGTCAACATCTTCAAAATGTATGACTTGAGCTTTGTTTTTTTCTGTAATTATAAGGTATATTATGGATTAACATTTGCTGCACTAATCCTGCAGTTACACTGCAGATTACCTTTAAAAGTTTATGTAGAATGACAAAGATTCTAAAAATATAATGTTCATATTTAAAATCCACTACTATAACTATAATATATAAAACCCCTAAAGCAACCGGTTACTTCAACTCATGGTTAATCGCTGTTTTGAATGAATGTGTGCCTTTACAGCTTGGTCTAAAAGTGACAACACTACCTGTGTTAGTTCCTTAACCAATTTAAAACATAACCACCCTAACTCCCTTTAGTGTGTGACCCTTTGCTCACAAACAAATGTTCTATGGACTGAAATAGATCTGAACAAGATCTGTTTTGGATTTAATTCAGCCAGCTTGTTATCCATCTTTTTTTGACATGTTACTTGTCCCTTGTAAAACTTAAATAGTGGCCCATAATTGCAGGTAAAGAGCTGAATTTTCAGTAAGTGAGACCTGTATATATTTTATCGAGTTGTTAAACTGTTAAAGCTCCTGAGACAAATATAAAATGTGTCATATTGGGCTATATGAATAAACTTGAATTGATTGATATTTGAAGCTAAAGTAATCCGTCATTTTTTGTCAACAACATGTTGTGGTTTTTTGTTCGCCGGAAATTGCAGCATATCCCCTTATTTGATTATATATCCCCTTAAATATGATTTTAGTCATTGCATCTTAAGTTCTAGAGAAGCATTCTGAGCAAACGTAAGTGATAGCCAAAACAATGTCGGATAATTACTTTTCTTTATAACGTTAAACTGTATCACTCTCTGGTTTTAATCACTGTTTCGGTTCCTGGTAAAAATGTCGGAAACAATGAACAATATAGAAATCCTAACTAGGAGAAGCTGGCGTTAATGAGTGCAATGTGGTGAAGAGCTCTCCCATGATCTAACGCTGCCTCTCAATGCCGCCACACTTCATCTTTTGTTTTTTTTGTTACTGAGAGACTCCTAGTGGCAGAACATCACATATTGTGCATCTAACAGGCAGGTGTGCTTTGTAGATTTTAAATGTGTCTGTTTCTATTACAAATCAAAATACAGGTTTGGGGCCACATGACATGACTATTGAGCATGGCATGAGCCACAGGAAACACATCTTACTTATTTACCATGTTAATCTGTTCACTAACAGTTCACTAATGTTTGTTTGTTCATGTTTAATGTAGTAACGCTTTTTAATATTAGGCAATAGTACTGTATCACATAGCAACTGTATGCAAAATGTTGTTCTTTACTGTGAGTATGATGGTGCTGCGCACAGTAATAAGAAGCTTCCATTGATTAAAAACATGTTCAATGTCATGCAAAGTATGTCGGGAACGTTTTAAGTAGTTAATTGAATTCCTGTTATCGACATTCTGCATCTTTAAATAAAAGAACATTTGGCAAAATCCTAGTTTGTAGACTCTAGACTAGAGACAAATCAACGTACTGTTACAGTTTTCACTCGTTGTTGTTTTTGTTGATTTCTGTGATTTTCTTGAATAATGGGAAAATCTCTCTAAAAAGTCTGCAGATTTTTGGATTTAGGCAAATGTATCTTCTCTGTGTGATGAGAAAATTGTGATTTTCTCTGATTATTCTTTTTGTTACCCCTCTTTGTAACCTTTGACCTCAGGAGCAGGAAATGGACGATCTCCTCTCCCAAAGAAACCAGCCCAGCAGGACACGGGTGGAACCTCTATGTGGTCGACAGCGTCAGCCCCCTCACTCTTTACCAAGAGATGGTAACAGACATACCACCTTAATGAACTGCTCAAAACAATCCACTTCCATGTCAGTTGTTATGGTTGTATACTTCTACTTGTAATATCATGTATGCAGAATTATTAACCATACAGTATGAAAGACTAAAGAAATAAAACTAGAACAAAACAAACATCTTAAATGCGTAAAAAAAGACACATGACTGTGACATGCATTTAATTTGTAATTGATCACTTATAGTTAAACAACATAAATACAATTTGCCTGTGGAATGAGAGTGCAAATGTATTTGTTGAAAATATATGTATTAATCAGATTATATATTTTCTAAATCTAGTGAAACGGACTGCTTTATTCTTTCTGTTTTAAAGAAGCAGGCAGCATTTTTGTGAAACTTCTTTCTGATCTATAAATCTATTAAAACCTTTATTCCAAAATATGTTAGATTTAGTGACTAAAGGAAAGGTGGAAATAATATGAAAGATTGACTCTGAACATGCTACACCTACTGTAGTAAATCTTCATGTGTATGAGTGTGTATAGTCATATTTTTGTCTCTGTTTTTCAGGTCGAATACAGCGAGCGGTACGCAGAGACCAACCCGCAGGCCCAAAGCCTTCGGCACCTCCTGAGTGAAGCTCACCTCTTCCTCCGTGCCTCCTTACTCAGGACAGAGCCTTCAGAGCAGCCACGAAACATCGAGGGTGAAGCCGCCGTGACTCTGCAGACAGATACAGACGCACCAGCTGATAGACAGACAGCTGCACAGACAGACAGGCAGGAGGTGGAGGAGGCACTCAGGCACAACTGTGCACAGCTGGGAGACTGTTTCAGCAGGTAACACACACACACACACACACACACACACACACACACACACACACACACACACACACACACCAACACACACCACACACACACTGTGTGTGTGTGTGTGCTCAGGCTGAGTTTCGCGGTGTCTCGCTGTCTCGCAGACCCCATGCAGCAACCAGGAAATGACACCGGTAATCCAGCTCACATTGTCCGCTCTTCGAGCCTCAAAGGGACCACCCAGACCCCACACAGCATTCTCATCTGTTTGTTATTACTGGTGTCATTTTCTGGTTGCTAACGCCATTATAACAGATAAACACTGATGTTCCGCTGTAACGGTGGTAGACTCATCAGAACAGAATAGGCGAGCTGACCAATCAGAGCACAGTGAGAGATGCTGTATGAGAAACCAATGTGAGTTTGGAACATTGAACAATGTAAATCTATTCTAGTAGACCTCAACAATGGAATTATGATCAGTAGGAATGGCCATGACATGGGACCTTTAAAGTAAAAAAAGTATCACAAAAAACAATGGAAAAAAAGCAGCATATATTCACATTTGAGGAGAATCAATTATTTTGTGTTTGTCTGTTCTGTAGGGGCAGTCAGAAGGACTGCCACCTGGCCTTGCCGTACTACAGGATGTCCGGTCTGTCAGTCACAGAAGTCATGGCCAGAAACCGCCCACTTCCCAGCAGCCCTCACACCTACGGCCCTGGCTTCCTGTTTTACCTGAAGCATTTCCTGTTTGAAGAAACAGAGCAGACTCTCAGCCAGGTATACACTAACATTATGCAAGGCTTGTTGTAATGAGACTTTTTATTTTTAGAAAGGTGTAATATGGAAGAAATTATAATTACAGTTTCTTTGCTATAGAATTAAGAACATGGAATCAATCAGTTTAGAAAAGGTTTTCCCTTAGCTTTCTTGGGGAAGTGACTTTGTTGCGGCTATGATGCAACCTCTGATTTGTCTATAAAAACATGTAAATAAGTAGTTATTTTAGATTTGTATACATCAGTTCATCAGGTGTTTTATTCGTGTTCTACTGAACACTTGTTCCTTCAGTTAATTAATACTAAAAGAAACTAATGAAAACAAGGAATTAAAGAATTATCTTTCTGCAGGAGGCAGCTGATGAGGTCATAGACATTTTAAGCAAATCAGAGCCCTCACAGCTCGTCAGTGTGTGTGCCAGCCCGTCCATGATAAACCTCAGTCCCGCCAAGACGCTGCAAATCCTAATACATCAGGAGGACACGTGTGGTGTGTCTGTTCTTCTCACAATCACCATGGCAACCATGATGCTGTGTTTGGACGACCTGCCACAGTACACACAGCTGATGGAGAGACACGCCGAGGTGAGAGGGGACAGGGGCTGTGCTGCGTGTGTCCTTAAGAAAGCTTCTTATTGAAGAAGAAACTGAAACTTTATTTTCTCCACCACCAAAAGTGTGTGTGGGTGTCTGTGCTAATCTTGCATGAGAGTCATCTCATCAGCATCATATATTTTGTTGTGATGATTAACAATCTTTTAAAATGTTTACTTATAGTTTTGAACCTTCATTAGCTCCTCACTCATCACTCCTCTTAACTGGTCAATAGGGGCCGCAATATAGAAAAGACATTTCCAGCAATTTGCATACCCATGGCTCAAAAATATCCATAGAAACAAATCAGATACATTTTTTATGTAATATGTTATGATCCAATACAGTTAGAAATGTTTTTACAGGTCACATTGTGCTATTTGAACAGTTGATTATGTTTTTGTAAAATTGCCAAAGTCTTTCCCCAATGTTTGCATTAAATCCTTTTTTAGTATAGTGGAAAGTGAAAATGTTTCTGGTTCCTCATGAAAGGAAATGAGAAATAAAATGATCACAGTGGATTGAGCAGAGAATTTAATGTCTAAGCTCTTAACATTGTTTGTATTATCTTATACTATACCAAATCACTGCGAATTACATTTCTCAGAATGAGATTCATGAGAATCATGCTGACAGTGTCGCAAAGGGCAATTGGAGTTCTGAGAAACCTGAGGACCTGTATGTTTGTGTTCAGATGCTGCTGGTGTACAGGTTCATCGAGGAGCCCAGGCTGCTGCTGCATGGCGGAGTTGGAGGCCAGCACACACACATCCGTCCCACACGACTGACCCGACAGCTGGCAAAGTCCCAACCAGGACTGCTGGTGGCTGCCATGGTGGCTTTACATGAAAACAGCAAAGTTCAGCTGGAACAGGCTGATCACATATTCAAGGTGGATGTGGCACTTGTTATTCACAACAAGTGAAATCTTACTGATTTGTTGCAAGCTTTCAAGAGGAAAACATGAATGTGTGTTTGATTTTAGGAGCTGGGCTGTGAGAACTGCTTGCAGGTGGATTTCTGGGAGGCGATGCTCATGGCCTCCTCACAAGAAGCTGTCATCCAGGAGCTCCTGTTCCGACTTGTGTCCATCTATATTGACCGACTCACAAACACAACTTCCGATACACACCTCAACGAACCACACACACCTTCAAGACGAAGGCCGTTGAAGAGCGCTGACGATCTGGTACAGTAGATACAAATTGCAATTGTTGTCTTTGTTTGGGAAAGATTGAGTTTCTGTTGGGGATTTTGTCCAGCACCTTTATCTACTGCCGTCAAATAATCATTGTGTATAAATAGTGTGATGTTTAGGAAATCCATTAATGTGATCATCTTTTTACTCACTGAGAGGCCTACATGTTTGTGTGTCTCAGATAAACTCGTGCTCTCATTACGGTGCTCTCTACCCGTGGCTCACTGTTCTCAATCCAGCTCACACTACCAGCTCCCAACACCAGGAGGCGCTGTACAAACTACAGGTAATGTGTCTTGAATCAAAATAAATGTGCTTCTATGGAAAATATACAAAATATAATTGAACATTTTAGGGGTCTACTTGAACATTGCACTTGTAGTCAAATATGTCAAGTCTTCTAACATGAGCTAACATCAGCCATGAGCTACACGTCATACCATAACATGTGAGTATGTTACAAAAATCTCATGAGTGTATTGAATTGAGTAGGGTTTTGTTTTTGAATTTTATACGTTATATTTGTTTGATTGTCAAACAATTATTGTGCTATTTGATCTTGCATCATCTCCCTTTCCCTTACTCACCTTCTGTGATTGAATTGTCTGCATACAGTCTCTACTGTGTGGTCCGTCTCTATCTGTGGGCTCCGTCGTGCCTCTGATGGAGCGTCTGTCAGAGGAAACTTTGTGGGGCTTCAGCCTGCACCTCCTCTGCTCCACCAGGAGGGGGCAGTATGACCGTAGCATTGAGAAGCTGCTGGACCGATGTCCTCAAGCCATCATAGCCTATGCCAACCACCAGTTACAGGACATACATATGGTCTGTACTGAGCTGTAGCCTGAGCTGTGCAGTGTCTCACTTATTTTTTTAACTCCAAGTGATTCTCAGTAGTATAACCGTGTCTTCCTTGTATAATTTTTGCAGATGTTGTGGTGGCAGAAGCTGCTCCCTGAGCTTTGTAACAGGACGAGAGCTGCTTCGGACAACAGCATCCTATTGGCAGCCCTCAAAGGTAGACGCTTATCCCAGAATACCATCAGTCTGTCAAAATACCCTTATTTTGAGTGTATGGCCACCTTGCCTAGCTTTGATTAAAGGTTCTTAAAAAAAGAGTCTACATTTTCAGTTCTACTCTGATGTCCATGTTTTGACATCTAGATTTTAATTTGGCCTGTGTTCATGCCAACAGAGACGCTGGTTGTGGTTGCCATGGAAATGAGTCCAACAGACTTTCTGGAGCTGATACCTGACGACGGGACGGCCTCCTACTTCCTGCCTTACCTGTTGAGCTGTAGCCAGAGACATTTAATGGCCTGAGACACACACACACACACACACACACACACACACACACACACACACACACACACACACACACACCTCACACTGTACTTAAATATACAAGGACAAAGGTGTCAGTTGTTCATTCAAACTGATACATAGAACAACTATATCCCATTGTTTGCTGTTGAACTGCTGCACCGAAGCAAATTGCGGGTTGAGTTTTTCCGTTGCTGTAAACGGTCCTAACACTGGAGTGAAAGGACAACCTGGCAACAAAGAAAACACAAAGCTGTCTCTAGTCTCTAATGTTGTGACAAGCTCTGTTTGTCATCAGACAATCATGTACAGGTTTTTGCATGTTTACTTGACCAACTTTTGATATATATATATATAAAGCAATTCATATGGATGTTTTATCTGCGTTTTTAACTTAATAGAACAATAAAATACTGTATGCTGGAAACACAAGACCAGACTATAGTTTATAAAGCAGACCCTGCAGAGAAGATAGAAATCATGCTTTCCAATTTTGAGTTTTGTTTGTCATTGCGTGTTCATTTTTGTTACAATTTTAAAGATATGTATCTAAAAGTGGTCTTTAGGCTTTATGTTGCCATACAAATGTAATGTGTTGCTACTAACATTTTATTTGATAGAGTTTGTTGTCCTAACACTAGTGCCTAAATGCCTAAAACCTGGAAGTCACTTGGTTTGAACTAGTTAAAAGCTGCAAGATTGTGATTTTATTTTTCATGAATTGTAGAAGTTTTTACTTGCTGGTCACTCAAATAGAAAGTAGTTTGAATATATCAGTCCACTTTTGATTTGTTTTAATTGTGTTTCACTCACAACTTCCTCATTTGGTTAACTCAACTATGTGTGCTGCTCCCTTAGTTGACACATGATCATAGATTGTTGAGTGTGGTGTGTGTCATAACAGCTTCACCAGAGACATGAGGTGTGACTTTGATCATATTGACTCAGATTAGATAGTATATCACTATGCTGTGTAACTGCTGCTGCTGAAATCTGCATACTTTATCAAGGTTTGTTTAGCAATCATTAAACCGGCCTGATGTTTTTAGCCGTGGATTCAAAGACATTTATTCTTTAATGGACGAGCAAAGACAATACACATAGATCCTAACATATTTGTGTTTTAATTGTATAAGCATTAAGTATTTTGTAACTTGGATTATTGACAATGGAATTTACTAAAATCAAAAGTGACTCAATCATGATGTTGATGATTAAACAGGCCATGAGTGATATGTGAAGAGGGGTTGATTGGTTTTGTCTTTTGAATCATGTACATTGACCTTACATCTGAGTTCATTATGCAGAAAGTAGAATCATCAATTTAAAAGCTCCTAACAACAATGGGCCAACATGTTGTAACTCTCAAGACAACGCAGAACCAATCAGAGTTATTTACCCAAACTTCTCAACCAATGAGAGCTTAAGAACATTCCAAAGCTGGGCCAATCAGAGCCACAGGATTTGATAGATCTCAGCTTGATTTAATGAGCACTCAGCTATTTAGATCTTTGGAAGGCCACCATTACCTGAGGAATATTTGGAGGTTCAACTCAAACTAGAGAGGATACAGAAAGCAGTACAGGCCTGAAAACAACAAAGAGCAACACAGGATCAAGGAGATAAAAAGAAAGAAAGCTTGAGCAAGGACAGAAATCTAAGACCAAACACAAAAAGGCCAAACAGTAATTACGTGAATGACGAGGGAAAGGGATATTGGAGAAATGAGGCTTCTAAGAAGAAACACAGGAGATAAAACCTTCATAGTTTTATCACAGAGGAAGAGGCCGAGCGAGAAGAAGGCGGTGGTGATCGGCATCACAGAAAACATCGAGATGGTGCTGTTTTCTTCCATGGAGCACTGTGTTATTACATTAACGCAGGAAGAGGAAGAAGTCAGCTTTGTCCAAGTGGGTCTTGAGTATACATTTTAAGCAATTAAAACTGTGGTGATCCTCAGAGTGCTATCTAATGTGTATGTGTTCAGTAACAGCCTTTGTGAGTCTAATAAAGTCCAAACAGCATGTTCTGCAGGTATGACACAATATTTCAGACTTTTCAGAAATATTTTACTTATATTTACCTTGGGTCATGTGATCTTGAAGGAATCTATAGAGTATGAACTGTTAAAGAATTTAATGGATTGAGATTAGATACTGCTCCTATACCTAGAGTTTATGTGACTGGTCCACATGATACATCACAGAGGTTAACTATTTAAAACTGAGATACTGTAGTTGACCTAACTGGAGTGACAATATATGTCGATCAGAACTGAATCAATCATCAAATGAATCAATTCACCAAAAACACCAATACACTTTTTATTTAGTTACAAATTTAGAAACAAATATACAAATAATTCTGAATATGGACGTAGTCCCTGTCCTATACACAAATAGTCATTCATAAAAAACTGTGTTGCATCTGATACGATGCAGGTCTTTCAATGTTCTTTGTCCATAATATGTTGAATCATATGTTCACACACAGTCAACACATTTTCCTTCCTATTCTTGAACCAAGGCACACCCGGAGCATCCTCTGGTCCCTGACTGTGAGGAGGAACACGGGCCTCAGGTTGAGACTGCAACCAGGCTGCAGACCCAGCCCAAAACAGAGCCTCACACTGAGACAGAGCCTGAGAACGCCCCCCCTCCCCTAGGATTAATGGAGGATATTAAAATGGAGATGAAGGTACGTGAATATGAAAAATGTAAATAAATTCATAGAACATCCACACAAGGAATATCCCATTCTCACTTGTCATAATACTGTGGAAAAGGGGTGATAAAGTGAGTTTAGGAATTAAATATACACTCTGAACAGCTTTTCAGCAACTCTTTCAGGAGGCTTCTTCTACCTTGTTTAAAAAAGAATCTAACGCTGCTTTCTCTTTCTCCATGCAGGTGCTTCCTCCCTTCAGATTGTCTGACAAGGAATTATTGGATACAAAAGCAATTGATCCTTCAATTATGGCCATGGTACTTTGTTTTTTTAAAATAACAATGATATCACTTTTCACGTGATTTGAATTACATTAATTTTGTTGAAGGAACCACTGAGCCTTCTTCCATCTTAGTAATATAATAAAACTAATTAAAGTATAATTTTATCAGGTTTAGCAGACAAAGCTTAGTCATGCGCTAATCCTGATCACAAAGGGAAAAAGTTAATCCAGCAAGCGTTATGGACTCAGTCAATCAATCAGTCAAAAAGGTTTCACACGTCTGCTTTCAAGCTCCATTTTTGCTTATTTTTCACATCCATGCATTTGTTTATTCCTATTTTCCTACGATGTATCCAATGTTTGTATAATGTTCGTTGTTCAGTTGATTTTTTTTCAATCTTATCATTTCAGGGGTAATGTTTCCTTTTTGTTCCTGTTTGCTACATTTGCAACTCCATTTTAAGAGTTTTTTTTCTTTCCCTGACTAGTTTAGCATTGACAAGCAACACATTGTTTTTCTGTCTGTGGTTAAAATGATTGCACAATAAGAACTGTGTGCATGTGATTTGTCAATATGTCTAATCTCTGTTTGCCCATTTGCTTCCCTTTGCGGTGTGCTACAGCCCTCTCCGAACAAAGCCACCCGTCTCAAGTGGAAAAGACTGTCTCTGCAGATGACCGGACTGGCGGTCAAAGATGTGGTCTGTCTACACAGAGGACGCTACGTGGCACAGCTCGAGAGGTGAGTGTGTGAAGTCATATTTCATCCATTGGTCTTTCGGTATATCATAAATATCCTAACTTGCCACATTGGTAATACATTTGGTATATTGTTGGCCTCTATTCTTAATATGTATTTTTAAACATTAACAATAGCTGGACTAATATCTTGTGGAAAGACTTCATGTCTCAAAGGGATAACCTGGGAAAATGTGGCCGAATAATGTTTTCAAAAATCCCCCAAAAACAAAATTACAGTGCAAGAAGGATTGCAAACTGTCATTTTATTTTTTTTAAATTCACAAAGTTCTCATTGTGAGGTTTCGTTAAATTGCCCTTTCTGTTTTTTTCATAAGTTTATATTTTGGCCACCAAATATGTACAAATATGCAACCACATAGGGGCTTGGTAGCCCATCGGGCCCATGCTTAGTATATAATCGTCTATCGTTCCCAATTTCTCTAGCACTACCATAATGGAATGTTCTCTTAAATGTATACTGTACTTACCAACCTTTTTTAATCTACAGTGCCACAATTAGGGCACAAATTCCACTCCTGCCCCATTACTATCAACACTAACTGGCATAATGAAATGAGCCCGTTCATACTCCTCAGAGGGTAAACTCTTTCGAATTTGTTAAAATGTATAAAATATGCACGAATTAAAATGGCCGGAAAATAAGTAATATCTTATCCAATAGAACTATATCAGTGAAGTACATTTTTCCATTTGTTTTTCCAGACACACTGTTCCTCGAAGCAAAGAACGTGCAGCTCTAACGGCTATGGGATTGACTGCTCGCATCACCATAGATCACAGCTGGTTGGCCAATCAGATGCAGTGTCGGCTGGCGATGCTCTTCAGGGGAAAGTTTGCGACGCGGGCGGGACAAAGATTCTCCTTCACATATTTACAGGTGTGTAGTATATATTTTTTACATGTATAATAAACACGCATTACAATTTACTGGCTCACCCATTATTACTATTTGGAGATTTAAGAATCAAGAATTCAGCTACAAATTAGGATCAACATTCAAGATTAAGTTCAAAAGTACATATCTGAAAGCGAATCAGGCAATTTCCCCTCCAACTCTTCCACATGCACTACAAAAACTTGAAATCTTACCAAGTATATTTATCTAATATCTAGTGAGAATATTTCTTTACACCTGATACCAGACATAATAACTTAAGAAGTAACACGGCAGTGAGATATCTGGTCTTGTTTTTAGACAATGCATCATCTTGTTAAGTAAATCAATCTTATTTTGGGTTGTATCTCAGATGAAACGCATATTGTTTTACATATTTATTAGAAAATGACCAACTAACATCAGAAAACTGAAAACTTTTGAGCATTTGCAGCTTATATTGTAACACAACATTTCCTGATTCTAGTAAAAATATAGTTCAAAATGTGTTCTCCCAGCTAATTACAAGATCTCATTTATCTAATTATCCCATTTTATTTCAAGAAATCTTACCAAGCAAATGTTCACTTGTTCTATTGGCAGATCTTTGTAATTATTTCAAGTGAAAACAGCTTCCTTTCCATTTTTCCAGTGTGTTGCTACATTTGAATCTGATTTGTGTGTGGTTTCCAGTGTGTACCAGGCTCTAGGGTACTGTATGTCCCAGACACTCCTGCGGAGGGCTGGACTGGAGAGCAGGTGCTCAGGACTTCTGGACATGGTGCTTTATACATCCTCAGCCACCAGGAATACCCACAGGTAAATATACTCTATACTAATGTTGACTTACCTTTTGGCAATTATGATTACTAAAAGTACATTTCTTACAGATTTAGTGTGATCCATTTCATTTTATGTCATATTATTCAGCTGTGTGTCCATCGGCCTTCGGTTTGAGATATTACTGCTCTGAAATAGAATCGGAGGACCCTCTTTAATGGTCACACATGCAGAGCACACACAGTGAAATGTGGCCTCTGCATTTAACCCATCCTAGTACTAGGAGCAGGGAAAGACATGTATTCAGCACTATGGTTAGTTATTAAATCCCGCAGAGTTTGCTCTCATTTTATGTTATGTTTTCTGATAGAAATCACCATCATTAATTACACTTTTACATTTCTTTTTCACAGTAATTAAAACAATTCTTCTCTCATACAGGCAGGATCTGAGGAGTCAACCATCAAGACACCTATTTTGAACAGGTAAAAAAGCAGGAACAGTTCCTAAGAAGAAACAATTGAAAATGATAAATGGTGAGAATTTTACCTAAACCATTATATTTGTGTGTGTCATCCAAAGGAAGGAGTTTTGTCCAGAGGCCAACACAGAGGGCAGAGGCATTGAGCTCATACACACCCGGCCTGTTGTTCCGACAATCACAGAGGAGGTCAGTTTATTTCAGTATTTTGGTTAGTCAAAAAAATAATCAGATTGTTAAATGACAGAAAATACACACTTTCCTTTAAACCTTACTGTGTGGTGTACAGTCCTCCCTCGATCTGGACGCCCTCCTGAGAGTGTTCAAACAGGAGAACATGGATGGAGACGTGGTGACCTACATCCAGGTGAGGAGGAGAGACCTTCTCCACAGTGCTCTGAAGGTGGTGAGGAGGCCTGGCTTCTGTTTCAGTATGACACCCATCATTGCCTTCAGCGAAGAGGAGACTGACGCCCACGAGGGACCTCTCAGAGAGTTTTTCAGGTTATTATTGTGTACCATTTATTTTAAAGTAAAACAGGCGTATTCTATTTTTATAGATGGTTCCATCACGTGTACTCACTTGACTGTGAAATATACCAGGACATTTTTTTTAACAGTCTTCGTTTGATATTGTTCTTTGCTTCACTAGTTTTCAGGTATCTTGTAGGAATATGTTTGTTATACTGACATTTACATAAGTTGAGGGAACAAGGAACGAGATAAAAATCCTTATCGATCATTTTTGTCTTTATCACAATTTAACAAAGCTACTTTGTGACTTAAGATGTTTGTGTTAGACCAACAGTCAAAAACCCTCCATAATGATTATCATATTAAACTATAAAATACAAAATACATGCAAATGGTTTTCTGTAGTCCTACAAAAACAATGCTTTTTAGAGGAATTACAATCTTTATTTTAGTAATCTACAAAAGATCATTAAAGCATCCTTTAATAATATGTGCAAATCCCTTTCCTCCTGCTCACACAGCTTGACTTTGCTGGAGCTACAGCGAAGTTCTGTATTTGAGGGTCTTCCAGGGCGTCTGTTCTTCACCTATGACCTCGCAGCTCTTAAAGACAGGAAGTATTACGAAGCAGGCGTTCTGATTGGCTGGTCTCTGGCTCATGGCGGGCCTGGACCCCGTTGTCTACACCCTGTGCTCTTCCAGGTTGTGTACTTGGATATCCAATTTTTTATTCAAGATTCTCTTGAATGTTACCTTGATCAGCTGTGTTAAATATTTCCACATTGATATTCTATTTAATTAAATTGTATTTTATTGTCACAGTTGATGTGTGGCCAGAATCCATCTTTGGAGGACTTCAGCTGGAGAGACGTTGTTGACGCTGAAGCACGGACCCGACTGCAACAGGTGGCCTAAAAGACAGATATTTCAAACATCTGTCCTTTTTTAAACTGATGACGTTTAAAAAGAAAATTAGGTTGACTTTAATCTGGATTTCTATCATTAATTTGATACACTCTGCTGTGTATCACTATAGATACTAAGTCAGTTTAGTGTTTTAAATAAAACAATATAAACCATAGCCTATGAATCATAAGCAATCAAATTGAATAATTTTGTTTCCACTCAATGCAATTTTGTTAACACCTATAGTAAATAAACTTACTAAACAAGCGGGTTATGTTAAATCTATACAGGATTGGATGCAACATGAATATGAAATCCTTGTCTGTTGCTTTTTAAAATAGCAAATACCTCCAGTGTTTATGTGAATGGACGACTGACACTTTTCCAGAGTTTTTTGTTTATTGTTTTAAACTCTTAAAACAATAAAACAGTAGAGAGAAACTGACCACAAATAGATTTAAATGTCGCCTCTCAAATGTCATCTATTGAATAGGAATGTGGTTATGTGCACATACTTTAAGATCATGGTGTCCTGGTTTTGAGTGAGACAAAATATAATCTAGCAGCTATGCTGACAGCATTTTGGTACTAAAACTGTGTACTGTCAGTGAACAGAAATATGATTAAAATAAGTTTGTACATTTTAACAAAAATGCATTGAAATAGAAATTGTCCTGTGAGGATAGTGTTGGGATTATCGTAAATATTTTCACTTGCATACTGTATACTTCTTGTATATACTGTATGAATGACAAAGGACTACAAAAGGCATATTACAACTGTCATTTTTAAGGCTTCTCATTTTCTCTTGTAGCTGCAAAGCTGTACTGATGTGAGGCTGCTTTCTCTCAGTCTGTGTGACTGGGTATCAACATGTGGGATCCCGGGAGTATATTCGGCCCACTCTGATGAAATACCATCCATCTATATCCGCCTGGTCAAACATTACATCTACCACAGGTAGGACGGACACACACACACACACACACACACACACACACACACACACACACAGATTTCATACGCGTTTTGCATCCCATACACTGGTTTATTCAGTGTTCTTTTTAATCTTTTATATTTCAGAACTTGTTGCCCATAGATCTTCTATCTCAGTTTTCTAAACGTCAATTTCATAAAATGTTGTACAATATTGTAGTTCTGTGTAGTCTCTATTGTTTCCAAATGGCTGCTAAAAGGAAAAAAAGTGTTTAAAAACATTACATTAAAAAATATGACTAGTGGATAAAGGAATCACTCAGACCCTCTGTTGTCCATAAGGGTGGCCTGTATGATCTCCCAGTTCACAGAGGGGATGAACAGCTGTGGTGGTTTTTGGGGTACGGTGCAGTCCCACTGGGAGGAGTTTGTGCCAGTGATGACCAGCGCACAGCGTCAGCCTCTGATGCTAGAAGAGTTCAAAAAGCTCATCAACATCTGCTACAGCCGTGCAGACAGCCAGCTGAGGGCGGCCGAGGAGGAAACGGCGCGACACTGGGAGAAAGTTCTCACTTTGGTCAGCGGTAAGAACCCAGGGATGGGATGGATGATGAGTGTGAACAACGTGATGTTGATATCTACTTTATATTTAATTTAGCAGATACGATTTTCCAAGTATATTACAATGAGCGCAATCACCTATGAAGATACAAACTCGGAAGTAGATTTCTTCCATTAAAACCATTTTAAGTACTATAACTTTTATTTCTCTGTTTAAGTACATGAAACTGTTAAATCTTTTTTTTTTATTATTGATATCAAGTCAAAATGGTGTGTGCGAGAAGTTTTTTGAAAAATGTGTCCTCATGCCAAATCAGATGGCCAGGCAGAATGTTCCTTTGAAGACCTCCTCACCTTCATCACTGGAACCGATCATCTGCCTCCTCTTGGGTTCCCCAGATTGATCTCCCTGTGTTTTTTCTCCCAGGTTGGTACTTTTAAGATAATAACAGATACAAAAATGTCCTGAAATAGTTCCATTTAACGTTACACAGAAATGTTTAACTTTACTGTACATATTGAGATGTTACAGCTATTTCACCTGTTGGAGAGAGACTGGCAATGTATTACAATGTTTTAGCTTGTACAATTTTTAAAATGGGGTGTTTCCCTTGGATACATGGATTTATTAAATGCCCGAAACCTCACATTGCATGAATTGGAATGATTGGATTGGTACATTTCAAACTTTAATCTCAAAATCACCATAGACAAGAGTTTAACATACTGTACAGTTGTCAGACCTCTGTCATATCAGGTTACACTTAGTCAGTAATCCAAAGAATATATTTAAATTGGGTATTTAAAACCCGGCTCCCCAAAAGGTTTAACATTTCAAAGAGTTGACTTTAGACCACACAAATCTTTAGATATGGTAAAATATGCATTATCAATCTTTGAGTTTTCCGTAAGGACTGAATTTAACATTCGGGTCTTCAGTTAAAATGACGACAAACTTTCTTTGATCCCACATGTTTTGTTCTGTCTGAGATTAATCTTTGTCACATTTGAATTACATTTCCAGGATGTGAGCATGTCAGGTGTGTGTCTGCCTCACGCCTCCACCTGCGCTCTGGAGTTCTTTCTGCCAAGGGGAATATCCGCGGCTGCAGACCTGATGGTGATGCTGAGCAGAGCCATGCACGTGGCCCTTGGCTTTAAACGTTTTCAGATTGAGTGAGATGGAGAAGGCAGCTTCAGTCTACTGCAAAATGAACGGCTGTCTGGATACTTGAGGTCCTGCTGAGACTGCATAATATGAAAAAAGTGACTAAATAGAAAGCCAGCCCACAGTTTGGCGAATGATATTGGTCTATGAACAATTTGTCACTATAACTCATGTGGCCCATTGCAGGAGTGTAGACAGAATTATTTTGAGTTACATTTATAATAGCTGCTGTGCACATTATTAAATTAGTGTTGTGGGAACAATGAGTCTTTTTAGAAGAGTTGGGAACAGTTTAAGAGTTCTTGCTAGTAGTAGATCAGATATGATGTGTTGATATACTGCATGCTGTCAGTTGTTAATGCAAATACAGTAAAGTGAACTTGCATGCTATATATTAATGTTAGCATCAAAGATTCACATTTCCAAAACAATCTATTTGGGCCCGGGGGGCAATTTGAAGCACCATTTAAGAGTAGGACATTCAAATAAAACAACAATATAGAACACATTTTTTTATTTTTCCAATTAAGATAATAATAATGTTTTGTTTAAATATTTTAAAACCTCTCTAATGAACTGTAGATACATATTTCAAAATCATGCAACAGAATGCGTCTCTTTGACATCTTAGAAAATGGCTCGTTTGAATACTTCACACACTGTTTATGTCTCTACTGATTTTTAAGAAAATGTTTTAATTTGTTAATATGAATAAATGTAACTTTAAATATGATGTCATTTTGTATTTCCACATGTCTTAAGCTAAAAATAATATCTATTGTGTTTCCTTTGAAAATGTTATGTTATAAATGATTCATTAAAGAACACAGAAAAACAAAGAATGGGGACTTCAAATGTTTATCTTTTTCCTCTTTCAGGACACATAAAATAACATGAATAAACTAATCCCACTAAATCATATATAAACAATTAATATGGCCTTTTGTGCAAAAATCATTACTTACATTTTTTTATATTTGAATCAGTGATGATCAGTGAAGAAATGCATCCAGTCGGCAGGTGACCATACAATGTATTGCATAGCCTTGGAGCAGGTGGTTAACTAATGGCTAATGCTTGTGACCTAAGTTCAGAAGACATTTCTATATACAGTAGGTACCAAGTAAACTATTTTCCAGGAGAGGCACTGTGACGGAGCGGATCACATGAGTGACTGACTCCGCCACTATATACTGTATATATATTAGGGCCGGGACTTTAAAAAAATTAACGCATTTTAATCGCACTTATTTTTGCACCGCGGAACGTTTCTCACTGGATGAGTTTCAGGGGTACCGATTATACTGGAGCACCAACTAACGTTCATTACTTCAGACAACAACAAACCACAGTAAACAATAGTCAAACGTGAACGAAGAAGCTGATGAGACCGCTTTGGTTGGCCCCGTGAATGGGATATTTTGTTTTAAAAAACGNTACGGCTCAGAAGAGAATTTTGAACCTGGCTTTATCTAAAGTTCAGATTTCAATTCCTGAAATGTCTTAAAATATGTGCATATTTAATGGGATAATGGCTCACTTGCATATTTATACATGCTATTTCAGAAAACATGTAATACAAAAAACAATTGCCTTATTTTAAGTAATTAACTGGAGACATTTCTAGTTGATATCTTTAAGTTAAAAACAATTACCCTATTCACCTGGGGTGTCTCGCCTTAAAACGTTATTAACGTGCCTAAACTCAGTAATTCACAATTTTTCGCATGACAAAACACTTTGTCCGTGTTTGGCTCTCTCGCCGCACAGTGAAGCATTCCCGCATTGACGTCACTTCCGGCTTCCCCCAAAACTTCAAAATGAGTCGAAGGAATTTCCCAGCGATGTTCGAAATTATTGATATTCATCGGAACGGTATTGCACCTTCTTTTTTAAACTGACGGTTCGAGATTACTAGTAGCCCAATATTTCATTGCACAACAGTTGTTGGGAGGATGTCACAGGCTCTTTAATGTGATATGTTAACAAAGGTGGAACGTTTTGCCTGCAACATTCTAAGGATGTGTTTTGGACGTTGTTGGGTAACACATTAAAGATGTTCTTTAAAAAACGTTCCCTCAATGTTACATGAAAACAAATGAAGAACATTCTCCAAGAAAAATTCTGAAAATGTTTTCGGGATGTTATTATTTTTTTATAAAACGTTCCTGTTATGGCAAATATCAACACGGTCATGGTCAACGTCAGATTTATTTCTAGAATGCTTTAAAAAACAAACTTTTTGTTTTGTTTTGAAAAGGATGTTTAAAAAAAATGTTTAGGTTTCAGTTTTCATCGGGACGTTTTATTTTGGTTCCCAGAATGTTCTTCTGAAAGGTAGGATAACGTTCTTTAAAAACATTCTTGAAATGTTTGGTGATAACCTTCTTAAGATGTTTTTGATAACCTTTCTTAAGATGTTAGAACATTGTTAGAACATTATGCCCTACTGTTCTTAAAACATTTCCAGCAGGACATTTTAGTTTGGTTCCCAGAATGTTCTTCTGAAAGGTAGGATAGCGTTCTTTAAAAACATTCTGGAAATGTTTGGTGATAACCTTCTTAAGATGTTTTTGATAACATTGTTAGAACATTATGCCCTACTGTTCTTAAAACGTTTTCAGCGGGACGGTTTATTTTGGTTCCCAGAATGTTCTTCTGAAAGGTAGGATAACGATCTCTAAAAACATTCTTAACATTTTTGGTGTTAACTTTCTTAAGACAAATTTATGCATGCCAATATTCACTCACATGCACTTATAATCACACTAAGGTATGTAGGCCCACAGTATTCATAATATCATATGTGTAAAATATCCGAAAATAATTACTCTTTTTTCTGACTATAAAGGTTGTGTCTCGTATGTAGGTTCTAACTGTTGGATAAGCTATCTGGCCGTGTGTGGTTTGTGAGGGCTGCGTATAAACAGTGTCCGCTGTTTATGCATATTGGATACAAATCCGCTGTTTATACATATTGGATAAAAATCGTTATTGCACCCTTTAGATTTGAGACGGACAGACCTGAACCCCTGTTAGTGTTTGTATGTGTTTTTTTCTACTGTGTGTCTCTGTGACGGAGCGGATCACATGAGTGACTGACTCCGCCACTGACAGCCGACACACACGCACACACACCAAACATCTAGGAGAAAATATGGAGGCGCATCACTTCCGTGTTTTAAATTCCTGCTATGAACCATGCAATTTCTTATTTATTTTCCGTTTGTTAATTATGGGGAATGATTATGTTAAGAGGTGGTTAACCTGTTTATGTTTGGGTCGGATGTTTATGTTGAAATGTGGTTTGGAGTTTGATTGTTGTCACCTGTTGACGGTAAACCTGGTGGGAGGGGCTATGGGTTAATAAGGGACGGGGTTGGCCCTGGAAGGGGAACTCGGGGAATGTTGCAGAGAAGGCAACAGCTGGGACGTGTTCAAGAGATCGTTGCAGAGAAGGCGTTTACTCTCCGGGAGTGATGGACGGTCTGATTTGGACGTTTTTTTTGTTTGTTTAAGTTGTGCTGATTCGCTATTTATTCTTTTGCTGTTATAAATAAAGTTTTTTGGAGCTTAAACAACCGACTAAGCCTATGTATCTAATGGACGAATAGAACCCCGTCACAGGCACATTTACAAAATTGACAAATGACTGAAACAGATGAAATGACCACAACCATACAAAGTACACAATCATTGAGTATCTCAAGCCTAGTAAAGGTCACTTTTATGAAAGGTCAAATAAGCCTGCGAAGAACATTTATTTCAAACAAAAGACCTCAAATGCCACAGCCAACAAGCAGTGCTTTCATGTTCTGGTGGTCAAAACAAATTGGAAAGATGTATTTTTATTATAATACTAAAGGCAAAGCACATTCAATTAACATTATTGTGTAAGAAACACCTTTACGTTTCATAATTCACATAAAGTAAGGAGTGTTTCCAGGATTTATTTTCACCAGCAATTTGAGTGGTCTGTTCACTTGGTGTGAGATGTCCATAGTCTTGTGCAATCCATTGTCACTTGAGCAAAATGTACATGTTTACTTTTCACTTTCTTGTAATTCAAGTTTTTGATTCGACACAAATGAGAGGCTGCGGTTGTAGGGTCTGCAGTTGGTTGAAGTTGTGGATGTTAAAGTCGTGGGGGTCTATGTTGTTTGAGTTGCAGTTGTGGGGGCTGCAGTTGTGTATGGTGCATTTGTAGAACCTGTAGTTTCTGGGGAAACAGTTGTATGACCCACAGGGGTAGGGTTTGTAGTTGTGGGAGTTGCAATTGTAGGGGTTGAGGTTGTAGGAGCTGCAGTTGTTGGGGCTTCAGTTGTCATGTCTGCAGTTTTGGGAGTTGCAGTTATAGGGGTTGAAGTTGCTGGAGTTGCAGTTGTGGGGGCCGCAGTTGTAGGACTGGTAGTTGTTGTCTCTGCAGTTGTTTTGGTTGCAGTTGTAGGACCCGCAGGCATAGGAGTTAAAGTCGTTGGAGTTGCAGTCGTAGGAGTTGCAGTTGTAGGGGTCGACGTTGTAGGAGTTGCAGTTGTGGAGGCTGCAGTTGTTGGGCCAGTAGTTGTAGCGACCTCAGTGTTAGGGGTTGCAGTCGTAGGAGCTGCAGTTGTTCGGGCTGCAGTTGTTGTGCCTTTAGTTGTGGGAGTAGCATTTGCGGGGGCTTCAGTTGTAGGACCTGCAGTTGTAGGATTTGCAGTTGTAGTGTCTGCAGTTATTGTCAGTGGCGTGCACAGACATTTATAGGGGCAGGTGCTCAAGAGAAAAAAAAGGGCACCTTCTGAGTCGTCGTGGCGGTTCGATTGTGCGCTCCGAAATTGTGCTCGAAAATTTGCCGGATAATGGCGGATTTTGGTAGTTTCTTTTCGGTTTTTGGTTACTTTATTTCGGTTTTAGGGTCAGGGTTAGGGTTAGGTTTAGTTTATGTTATTTAATTCTTATTTTTGCTTGATTTTACTGATTTATTATCAAAAAATTAATTATTTTAACATTTATTCTTATTATTCTGAATGACTTAGGGGGGTCCAATCTGAAGCTAGGGGGGACGACACACGGGATTGACACCCCTGGTGGAACCGCCGGCTGCCTTAGTAGTGTGAGATTTATTAAAGGCACATCTTGTATGTCGTAATTGCATATATATTTATTTCAATAACCATATGCTGTCTGATGCAGATGTTTATAATATTCAACAGCTTGGTTTCTGGTAAATTATTGTAACAATTTAAATAAGCAACAACAGAACAAACAAAGATTGCAGTGCCACATTGTGCACTTTTTTGATTGACTACATACTTTATTAACAAGTGACTTTTAAGACCTTTTTAATACCTCAGAAATAAATAAAATGAAATGAAAAAATTGCATTACTGCATCAAAGTAATCAACAAACTACTATAAAAACTGGTCAAACATTGGCCAAATTGTCAAATAATATAAGAAAGCCATCTACAAGCTCACAACGCCTCGCATTGCGAGCTTGTAGATCTGCTATTTTCAAAAGTGCACAATGAGACTAAATGGATGGATGCAAGAAAAGAAGTGAAGTTATAATTTAGTTTGGCATCTGATTTAGGGGATTAAACAATACACTCGTTGTATTTGTTACCTGGTGGTTACTTACTTGGTCGTCACTAGGACACTTTTAATCGTGTTGCTGCGTGCTGCTGCACCACAAAACCGCCGTGGCCTGTCAGACTGAGTGACTCAGGCCCAATCCCAAACCACTCCCTCGACCCTACCCCTCCGTGACGGAGTGAACTCCGTCTGTAGCCACACTCGCAGCTCAACGAGGCTCCCTCCTGTCAGATGGAGGGAGTAAATACAGCAGCAAGCTTTGGGACGGCCTCCCCTCT